TAGATGCCGGACCAAGGATTTGGAAATACATAACATATCACTTTGCATGCAAGATACTAGGAAAGAATTGTTATAGTTAGAGTTATCAATTTATGAACCTCTGGGGAACTTGTAAACCCTAGTTACTTTGATTAATTGATTAAAACCCAACATTAAAAGCTGTTAAGTGTCTATTTCAAGTTCGTTTTTTATTTTCCCTTATTTAGAGATAGAACCCCCCTTTTTATATTTATAATTTCCAAGGAAGTTATTGACCAAACGATAGTAATAATAGGTTAAGGTTAAGTCTAGACTATTTTCCTCGTAGGAACGATCCCAACCTCACTAGTTGGGTTATTTACTTGACACGACCGCTTTACTTCTCATTTGAGAAGTTAGTTTGAGCGTATTACTTAACCCTTCGAGGGTTTCATTATTTCATTAAATACATCATAGGTTCACTTACATATAAACATTTGCTAGACTTATGGGTCAATACATTCACATATGACTTATGTATCAATACGGAATTTCAGAACGGGAACCCAGTTTTCAAATCTCTTGAATAACACTTACATATTTTTCAATTCATGTTGATTTGATCCATATGCCTAGGGCTCAAGTTCGAGCCCCTATGTCTTAATTCCCCCCCCCCCCTGCTTAATTTCTCTCTTCATTTTTCTCTTAATAGAACTAAGAGGACGTGGGATCAAACCACCACAAACTCATTTACTTTTTATTTCAATTGACTTTAAATTTCTCTCCTTTAGCCCAGGGATTGTGGGTTCGAACCCCCAAAACCCCTCTTTAATATCTTTTTATTTTTATTCTTACATCTGTTTATGAGGTCGTTGGTTCGATTCCCACGCCTCACATCTCTTTTTTTTCATGTCCTTTGACTCTCCTTCACTGCTTATAGGTTGTAGGTTCGATTCTCACGCCTCACATATCTTTTGTTTCATTTTCTTTACTTTTTGTAACTGCCTAAATGTCGTGGGTTTGAATCCCACGCCTCACATTTTATTCTATTTCTTTTACACTTCCGTAAATCTGATTGAGAGGTGGTGGGTTCGAATCCCACTACACTAAATTTTTTTTATCTTTTAAGTTGTATTTTCTTGTCAATAACATGGTTCGAATCCCCTTCACCACATTTCTTTTTACTTCTTAATTTTCATGGGTTTTAATATGCTGAGGTCACGGGTTCAATCTTCCCGGACCTCACTTCCTTTAATCATTTAGTTTTCCCCTAATGTTTCTCTTAATTTTTCTCTTAATGGAACTAAGAGGATGTGTAATCAAATCCCCACAACCCACTTTATGTTCTTCTAATTTTTCTCCTGAAATCTGCCTAGGAGGTCATGGGTTCATTTTCCACGCCTCACATCTCTTTTCTTTCATTTCTTTTGACTCTCCTTCATTGCCTATCGGTCATAGGTTCTATTCTCATGCCTCACATTTCTTTTCTTTCATTTTCTTTACTCTCCTTCCCTGCGTAGAGGTCGTGGCTTCGATTCCCACGCCTCACATTTTATTTTATATTTATTTAAACTTCCTTAAATCTGATTGAGAGGTGGTTGGTTCGAATCCCACTACTCTAATTTCTTATTTTTATCTTTTAATTTAAATTTTCCAGCCAATGCCATAGTTCGAATCTCCTTCACCACATTTGTCTTTACTTCTTTATTAACATGGTTCTTAACATAGTGAGGTCACGGGTTTAATATTCAATGACCTCACAAGTTTTATTTCATTTTTTCAGTATTTTGAACCCTCTTTGCTGAGCGAAATTCATCACTAGAAGCTGGAATTTTTTTTTATTTTTCAGCATCACTTCATCAAGTTACACCTTAGTTCTTAGTGGAATTTCGTACTGCATTCAGAACGGTTTAGGTGTGTTTTCATGGGTTCATTTAGCCAACAAATTATCCCTCGAATAAGCCACATTTCAAATAATATGAACATTACATTTACATCAACATTTGTGCTTGAAATATAAAGAACTATCATGCAATTGGAAATCCTAAACCATGAATAATAACATGATAACACACACATACACACGTAGTTACATTTATTTAAACATGAATATATTTCACATAATTCCCAACATAAATATAAACACATAATAAACACGAAAACACTTTTCATCCCTAGCTTTCTACTAACAAACATAACAAACCTATTATTCAACGGGAGCTAGTGACAGGGGCATTCAACATGGAATAATCCTAGTGTTTGGAATGAATATTCTCATCCTTAAGGGGTCTCTTGGGAAAGGGACTGAGAGAGAATAAAATCCATTCATTTTTGATGTTCAAACCTCTACTTGCTATCAAAAGAGCCCCTCCAAACACACGTCCGAATCCAAGAGCTTCAAAACCAAATTGATGGGAAAACACTCTCTTTGCCTAACGTGTTTGGTTAGTTGTTTGTTTATAATTTTCGTTGTGAGTTCTTCAAGTGTGGAGAAATTCGAATAAACTACTGTTTTTGTACGTTATTTCGCAGAGAAAAACATGAGAGTAATAGAGACGTGAGAGAGAGATATGAGTGTGAGAGAGAAGTGTTTTCTTAGGCTTAGGAGTCTACTTTAGGACATAGTAATATAAGGTTTTATTTAATTATTGAAAAACTAATTTCCTTTTATTTTAAATAAGAAAATAACTATTAAATTGAAATTAATTACATTAATTTACCAACTTGAATTAAACACAATTTAATTCATTGCTTACATGTAGGTTCGAACTAGGGTGGAGAATACTTCAGTTCAAGAGCCCAATTTTGGCCCTCTCTCACCAAAATATGCTCTACCTTATAAATTAAATAATTAATTATATATTTAGGATAATTATGATACTACACTTAGCCTTGAAAGAGTGCATTTTATACGTAGACCGTCCAAACCTATGATTTCCTCTTTTTAAGTTAGGTAAAGACTCGTTCGATTGAATCTTTTTATTAGAGAGCCGTACATGGTTTGACCAAACATTTACTTGCTCAACTAACTCCCCAAGTTAGTTGGATTGGAATTTAGCAAGGGTTCTGAGGTCTTGTTCTACGCATATCAATCCTGTTTAACACGGTCTAATAATTGGTATTCTAGACACATTAAACATTACTTAGCATATCCATTTTTAGGGTTGTTACATTATACCCCCCCCCCCCTTAGGAACATTCATCCCCGAATGACACTACTCTTTAATAACATGACGGAAGTCATCTATAGAATGAATGCGTACATAAGTAATTAAATACTCCCCATTGGTGAATATTTGATTCACATATTAACATGATGGTGCACATCCTTGAAACATAATAGTAGCTTAATATTAATATACTAAGGACTTCTTTACTAAAACTAATTTAATTAAAGCATAACACATAAGTAAAAATGTAAGTCATACAAATCAACAACCAACATGATGACTCAAACATATTAACGTCATACTAGGCCATACACACCATACACATTCAAATAACTAAAGTACTAATAATTTATACTCACCCGAGACTTCACCAGAGAAGCCTTTCCCTGCACCCCTATACTTTAGTGCCAAAAAAAAGTTGCCTTCTTGGAGCCTCTTCACATGGACCATTAGGTTGAACTCTCTCCTACAACTGTTCTTGACTTTTCCTAATCGTACAATCCTTTATCAAGAGACCCGATGTGCCACAACTGAAACAAGTGGTAGAGTCCATCATACATTCTCCCCCATGCAGTATGCCACACTTCCTACAAGGTGGCGTCTCTTAGTATGTAAAGTCTTACGAACCTCAGGGATTAATACCTAACAAACATCGAGCCCTACTCAAGGTTGATTAATTCCTCAACCTTAGCCTCCTTCATATATCCAGGCAAGAACCGCCCTACAAAATCCATCTTGAAAAGGTCCCAAGTAATATGACCCCCTCCTAGGGTCTACTATGCTGCCACACCTTATACCAGGATTGAGCTACATCCTTTAGCTGGTAGGTTGCCAACTCAGACTTCACCACATCAACCAAACCCAATAGCATGATCTTGTAAAGTTCTATATTTGGCCATCTATACAAAAGTTGTCCTTACTTCTTGATCTGTCAACCCATCTAAGTTAACAGGCATCTCTATTCCAGCAGCTGGAGCATGTGGAGAAACTTGAATTACCCCAGTAGCTGCTCCTCCAATCTCCTTGCCTACTTTTGTTCTTGTATTCATCTTTTGGGAACTTTAAGAGTATATGTTAGATACCCTCTTAACACCAAGAAAATATACATTAGAGGAGGCACAATAAGATTACACGAAGGGAAATGTTCCTACACATCATTGAGTCTCTAATACATGATAGTGGTGCATCTCACTAGCATGACTTAGAAACTACCACTACACAATTTTCGGCCTACAACAACACCACGTACTAAACTAGCAAAAAGTGTGGTCTTTGAATAAAGGCTACACATTTGGACATTCAGCAACATTTTTTTGGGGGCTGCCCAAATGAAGTGTAACCTTTGATATTAGGCAACACTTTTTAAATGTTGTCAAATAGGTATAAGGGCATGCTTTTAAGTCGTGCATTAGCAACACTTATTTTTTGTTAGACTACACTTAAAAGCGTTGCCTTTTCAAATTTATTGGTCACACTAAAAATTGTTGCCTTTTATTGGTCATCTATTGCAACACTTTCAAAGTGTAACTTTTTATCTACCTAGAGCAAAACTTACTAAGTGTAACTTTAAAATTTATACGCCTACATGTAGCACAAATATATATAATATATTTACATACATACAAGTGACCTAAAACACAAAATGAACTAATTAATCATTAAATTGAAGCTATATATTTCAAATAATTTCGAGAAATATTTCATGTACAACCAAAAGATAGTATGTGTTGTGGACATACCCATAGTTATACATCAATATTCTAAATATGTACACAATAAATCAAATATGTATTTAAATCTTTGCAATTGTTCAAAAACTCTTCATCATCCACTTCAAATTTGATCAACTCCATTTCCCTACACAAATAAGATATTGTCAGTTATATAGAAGAGGTAAGAAGTTCAGATTGCAACAATATAGAGAGGCAAGAAACCCAGTAGTTACAGAGAATTAGACTGCATCTTTTGAAGTTCAAAGTAGATGCCTACTTGTCTTTTGATGTTCAAAGTAGATGATCTTCCCTTAGGTGTCTAGAATTCCAAATGAGTTCAACAACAATGAATAATTGCATTAGGGTTCAAACTTCATAAGAAACAATATAAAATATTTGGTGTTATACAATAACCATGATGCACGCAAACTAACACTAACACTAAAGAAAAAAGGAATTAATGAGGAGACACATGCAATTAGATTCTCCTAATAATTATTTGTTTATTTGTTTGTAGTTATGGAAGCATGTCTTCTACTAGGATGTCAAAAGTTATGGTTATAACATGGATATTCTATATAATAAGAAAGAAAATAGACATTACTGATAGAAATATTTATATATAGAAGCAGCAGTTACAGAAAACATTGATAACAAATCTGAAGATTACAGATTCCATACCATGACAATGTTCTATACAAATGCCAAAAAACAGTGAAACAAAAGAAGCAAGACCTTAGCTCAATTTAAACCAAATACATTAACAACAACTAAAGAGAGACAAGTCAAGATTGTAGATTACAGCAGCAGCAAAAATTAAAGAAAATTAGATTATTTTCCTTGTGTAGTTAATATGTTCCACACGATCAAACAAGGAAACTAAATCTTACATAGAAAAACTACATTTCAACCATACCAAACAAGCAAGATGAATAGTGGTCAAGAGAAACAAAACCTTAGCTCAGTTAAAACCAAAGCCACTAACAATAGATTACCAATGATGAAATAGCAAAAACAATATATAAGTCAATACGCAAGATCAAAGATCTGTTATACATACCATGTGCAAATACATTTCTAAGTTCTTAGGAAAATTAAAATTGATAACAATGTTAACTGCTTGAATATCAATTCCTCTAGTAAACAAATCTGTTCCATCAACAAAGAACACAAAATTAATTAATTTAACAATTAATCAATTTGAAATTTTAGCTGTAATGAACCATCATATCCATGACGGTCCGTCCTGCATGTTCGTCATGAGGATCAAAGAAGTAGTAGAAGAAACTTGCAAGTATAGGACGACGGAGTCCACGACGAATGACTACGATGGCCTGTCATGACCACGACGGCCCGTCATGACCACGACGGCCCATCATGACAACGATGGCCCGTCATGATGACGACCCATCATGACTACGACGACCCATTGCAAGGTCCACGGTGGCCCGTCGCGAGGTCCATGATGGCTCATCGTTACCACGACATCCCGTCGCAAGGTCCGTTGACCAAGCCGCGTTTTGAAAGATTTCCAGCAAATAGAGTTACATTATATACTTATGGCCATAATGAGTAAATTAGCTAATGTTACTATCTATACTTGAAAATGCACTAGGCAATGAAAGCTTAATGTAAAACTGAGACCAATTTGAACAGGGTGAAGTATAAAATTGAGTTACCAAAATGCTTAATGTAACAGGTATGAGCATGAAACTGATAAAGTAAAACAAAAAATGCAACAAGGAGGGGATGTCAATAGCAAAATATCAGGTATCATAACTATGAATCATTACTCAAATAATTTGTCTAAAACTTCTACTAAGATTGTTGAAGTTGAAGGAGGGATGGATTGGGGTTGTTAATACAACCTCACTTCTGCAGAAAGGGGCTACAAGAGGAGGGAATTTGCCTCATGTTTTTCATGAGGGGGTACAATCAGACCTTAACCCTGACCATAGAGGCCCAACGAACAATAAAATTCAGCAAAAACAATCTAAACACCAACAGGGTCAACAACTAGGGAAGACAGTGGCAATTAAACAGGGGCACCTTAACACACATTTCTCACAATACTACCTAACACCTCTATTTCAGTTTCGAAAGTAAGTCTAAATTTGTACTAACTTGATGAAATCAGTTCTTCAGCTTCTGTCCTTCAGCTCTTCAATTTTTATTTCTTCGATCCCAGTTCTTCAGCATAAACTGTTCATTTCGTCGAGAAAATCAAAATCTGGAGAGGAGAATCTTCAACTCAATTCTTCTATGTTTCATCTTAGCTACTCTGGAGAATGTACGTGTTTCAAAAGTTTTATAGCTACATAAATGTCAAAACAAATTTAACATGCAAGTTTAAAAAAAACTGATTTAAACTATGTCATATAAATAGAAACTGGAGGAGTAATGTTTAAGAAAAACATTATAGTAAAGGTTCCATATCAAATTCAAAATATCATGATAACCTATTACAACAACACTTGTTCTATTGAATGCCCATCATTTGATTATAGTCAATCTTCACAATTCTTTACTTTTATCGAACGAACAACTAAATATCCCAGTTCATTCAGTTTTCTGCTTTTCATTAGTTAAACATCACGATACAAGGTTTTAAGGCTCAGGGCACCTAGAAATAAACTAGTAAAGCTAAATTACGAGCTAGACTCCCAAAAATTGTACAAAAACACAAGAACATCAAAATCCTATAGCTAGTATTTAGACATTCAAAGATAGAATTCTTACCAGGTAAACCATAATCTGTCTAAAATCAAGTCGTGCAATGAGAAATCTTAGAGAAAAGTGTGACAGAGAGACTTAACTTCAGTTCCTCTTGTTAACAACCCCAATCAATTCCTTCTAAACAAAAAATATAAAAATTTGTTCAATATAATGAAGCTTGATGAAATCTTCAGCTCTTACCTTGACAAAATCTTCAGCTCGGAGAAGAGAAAGCTCGGTCAACTCGATGAGTTTTGCAGCTCGATCTTCAGCTCGATCTTCAGCTTGGATAAAAGAAATTGTGAGTTCTTCAGCTCGAGAAAGGAAAGGGAAAGCGTGACTTGTAGGAAATAGCTCCATCTTCAGCACAATATCAGAGAAAGGAAAGGAAAAGCGTGAGTTCTTCAGAAAAGGAAAGGGAAAGGGAGAAGGAAATAGAAAGTCTTTTTGTTTTATTATTATTTAATGTTTATTTTTTTGGCAAATAAAAATTGGAGGGAGTGTTAAAAATATTGGAGGAAATATAATATTTAGTGAAAAATTTTAAGGCAACACTTATAAAGTGTTGTTTTTTTAATTATAAAAATAGGACATTTTAGAAGTGTGGTCATATATGTAAATAGGTGTTGCCAATTATATCATATTTTAACAACACTTATAAAGTGTATCTTATATTATTAAAGAGTACAGTTTTGAAGTGTTGCCAAAATTATTGTAGCTAAGAGTTAAAAATTTTGGCTACGCTTTAAAAGCCTTCCCAAAAGTACTTTAGGCAACACTTTACAAGTGTAGTTCAGAATAAGTGTAGTTAAAGGCCTAAAATTGTGTATTGTACTCAACGTGGTTTATGTGAACTTAATATCCTCGAAATTTAACCTAGCACTAGGATATACACTTTGTCACGACCAGAATCTACATTGCAGTCAAAACCGGCGTCGTTGACCTCTCAATGGTCGTAGACAAGACTACTTACGTCATTCTTTCTTTATGTAGGTTAATTTTAGCAGAAGTTTTGAAAATTTTTATTTCATAACATGCTTACTAAACATTCTACTACGTACGTAATTGTTCACCATCAACCATCTAACATTAAGATCATCAAATGAAAGGAACAGTTTATTATAACGATAAAGATGTACTTGCCAAAATTGTACCAATAAAGTGTTTGAACAAAATGGTAAAGAAAACGCTAGTGGAACATACTCCATTAGCTCAATCCTAAAACTAAGCTAGAATGTCAATAGGCAAGCGTCCTCGAAAGCATAAGGGACTACCAAGTCCAAATAAATGACTAACGTCTGAATAGTTGCAGCATTGATCGTGTAGCTCTAGCGTCAACCTGTGTCTATATTTAAAGTATTATAATTGTATAGGGTTAGTAGACACTTGTACTAAGTATGGTTACATGTAAGCAGACACCAAGGACATATACGAGTAAGAATAGATCTTTCATAAAATCATGACTGTAGAAGGTCAAGTCAGTGGACTTGCTAAATTGAGATTAAGAAAGTGAGTAAGCTTTTAAAATTAAGATTAGGAATGTCAGTGATGTTTCCAAATTTTGAATAGGAAAGTCATGACATGATAGTAACATCCATAATCATACTTATCATATTGTACACAACCAATAACATCTTACACGTAGCACATATCATAATTCATATGACACGTAACATTGTTCATATCATTCATTGGTATTCCATGAGACCTTGGAACCATGTACTTGACATTAAGACTTCCCAAAAATGAGGGCACAACATATGGGACCTCAATTGGGAGTCTGTTTTAGCAAATACAGAGTCTGCTTCATTTATTCATACGTACTTCATTTCATTTCATTCATGAACCATTGTAAACACAAGCTATACCTACGATGTAGTTTTATTCTTTCATCGGATTCATTGTGCAATGACCAAAAATGACCTAATGTCATTACTTTAATACAACTCACACTTGATAATCTATACTAACACCTTTGGTATGATTTATTTCATTATGTGCATCATTAGAGGCTGGCCTCGTTCATTCATTGGGAACTTTCACTTTAACCGACATAGATCCTATGAGCATCATGAAATACAGTGACATGAAAACCTACACCGAAAAGATGTTGAATCACCGGCCAAAGTGACCTGAAACATGCTAGCGTACAGGGGAATTGAACCCCACCAGATCCCTATATTGGCAGTATAGGTTCGAAAACTAGGAAATATAAGGAGACCCATACATGGCATGCCAAACAGTCTCCTCTAATAAGAGGTACGTGAACCTACGCCCTTCCCGAAAGAAGGTATCACAGCTCATAGATAGTCTATGGGTTTTCAATATAAAGTTCCATTACATTCAACTCATACGTCATGGAAGCTGACTTCTATTATGAGGACATCATAGATCAATAGATGATTTCTCATCTCATCATTAGTATTAAGTGTGTGAATCTCAATACTTTCATTTGAGTGTTCATAGACACTAGTATCTTCATTAACTTTAAACTCTCATAGGTGAGAACGTTTTGGTAAAATTTACTTAGGCTCATTTGAGATTTCTATCATCTTCCACATTAGCCTCATATCATGTATTCACTATATTCATTATCATTAGCACATTTGCTCTTCATTGTTACTCACCCCATTTTTTTCCGTCAATATTTATTTCATCATATGCCAATGCGCTTGGTATTTGGTGTTTTTCACTTTCTTACTTAACCCTTCTAGGGTTTCATTATATTATTGGTCATTTCATCATATGCCAATGCACTTGGCCATTTAGTGTATTTTACACGCATTCTTAACACTTCTTGGGTTTGATCATTTCATTACATACATCTTATATTCACTTTCTTTTAAACGTATGCTAGACTTATGGGTCTATACATCCAAGCCATAAGGCTTCATTTATTGTTCATTTAAGTGAATCATAACTTCCTAAGATTATGTAGTACAAGACTTCTGCATTTTGTATGTATGCCATGATCTCTATTTTGATCTAAGTAGGCAGCATTGTTCTTGAACATTTCATTTACGTATGACTTATGTATCAGTATAGAATTTGGGCAAGGGAACCCTGTTTTCAAATCTCTTGAACAAGACTTACATTTTTTTATTCATTTTTTTTATTCATACGTTTTGGGGACCCAAGTTAAAGCCCCAAATCCTTCACTTTATTTTTCCCTTAATGTGTCTCTTAATTATTCGCTTAATTTAACTAAGTGGATGTGGAACCAAACCCCCACAATCCCTCTTCAAATTATTTTAATTTTTCTCCTTAAATCTGTCTAGGAGGTCGTGGGTTCGATTCCCACACCTCATATCTCTTTTATTTTTGATTTCTATCGACTCTCCTTCATTGCTTATAGGTCATAGGTTCGATTCCCACGCCTCACATTTCTTTTTTTTTCATTTTATTTACTCTCCTTCACTGCCTTTACGTCGTGGGTTTGATTCCCACGCCTTACATTTCATTTTATATTTCTTTTACTCTTCTTTAAATCTGATTGAGAGGTGGTTGGTTTGAATCCCACTACTCTAATTTCTTATTTTTATCTTTTAATTTACATTTTCTAGCCATACTATGGTTCGAATCCCCTTCACCACATTTCATTTTCTTCTTTATTTTGTCATGGTTTTAAACATGGTGAGGCCACGGGTTCAATCCTCCGGGACCTCACTGGCTTTAATTCAGTTTTTCAACATCTTGAACCCTCTTTGCTGAACGAAATTCATCATTAGAAGCTGGAAATTTTGTTTCGATTTTTCAGCATCCGTTCATCAAGTTAAACCTTAGTTCTTAGAGGAATTTCGTAGTGCATTTAGAACGGTTTAGGTGCATTTTCATGCATTCGTATAACCTAGAGGTTATCCATCAAATAAGCCACATTTCAACACATATGAACATCATATTTACATCAACATATGTACATATAATATAAAGACCTATCATGCCATTTCAAGTCCTAAACAATGAACAATAGCCATGACAACACACACATACACACATTGTTACATTTTTAAGAAACTTAAACATAAGTCACATAATTCAAAACATACATACAAACACATAATAGTAAGAAATAAATAAATTTTATCCCTAGTTTTCTACCTGCAAGCATAACCAATCCATGATTCAACGGGAGCTTTTGACAGGGACATGCAACGAGGAACAATCCTAGTTTTGGGAATGAATATTGTGAACAATAAGTGGTCCCTTAGGAAAGGGACCAATAGACAAGAGAACCCATATCTTTTAGACTTTCAAAAATCTACTTGATGCTCAAAGAACTCCTTCCAACACACCTCCAAATAAAAGAGCTGCAACACAACCTTAAGGAAAAAACCCTCTCTTTTCCTAACGTGTTTGATTAGTGGTTTGTTTATATTTTTCGTCGTATGTTCATTAAATGTGAAGAACATTGGTTAACCTAATATTGTTGTACGTTATTAGGCATAGAAATACATGAGTTAGAGTGATAGAGACGTGATAGAGAAAGATGAGCGTGGGTGAGAAGAGTTTTCTTTGGCTTAGGAGTCTAGTTTAGGACTTAGTCAAATATGGTTTTATTAAGTTTTTGAAAATCTAATTTTCATGAATTTTAAATCGTTGGTCAACTAACTCCCCATGTAAGTTGGCTTGATTGTAGCAAGGGTTCCGAGGTCTTGTTTTACACGCATCAATCCGTGTAAACGCGGTCTAATCATTGGTATTCTAGACACACTAAGCATTACTTAGCATATCCATTTTAAGGGTTGTTATGTTATCCCCTACATAGGTACATTCGTCCCCGAATGACACTACTCTTTACTAACAATAAGTAAGTCATCTATAGAATGTATGCATACATAGAAAATTTAATACACCCCATTGGTTAATATTTGATTTACATATTAGGATGATGGTGAACATCCTTGAAACCTAATTGTAGCTTCACATTAATAGACTAAGGAACTCTTTATTAAACTAATGTCATTAAATCATACAACATACCAAAAATGTAACTCATACAAATTAGCAACCAAGATGATGACAAACATATTAAGCTCATACTAGTGTATAAATACCATACACATTCAATTACCTGAAGGACTAATAAAGGCTACACACCCGAGACTTCACCAAAGGAGCCTTCCCCAGCAACCCTAGACTTGAGAGCAAAAGAAAATTTTCCTTCTTAAAGCCTGTTCACTTGGACCATGAGGTTGAACTTTCTCCTTCCCCTGTTCTTGACTTCTTTTGCTATTACAATCTTTATCATGTGACCGGGTTTGCCACAACTGTAACAAGCGTTAGAGTACATGATACATCTACCCCCTACAGTATGCCACACTTCCTACAATGTGGCCTCTCCTGTGCTGTATAGTCTTACGAATGTCACGGAGTAATCCCTGACTAACATTGAGCCCTACTTAAGGTTGATGAATTCCTCAACCCTATCCTTCTTCATATATCAGGGAAAGAACTGCCCTACAAAAGCCATCATAAAAAAGTTCCATGTAATAAGATCCCCTCTTAAGGCTCTACTATCCTGCCACACCTTATACAAGGATTGAGCTATATTCTATAGCTGGTAGGATGCCAACTCAAACTTCTCCACAACAACAAAACCCAATAGCCTGAGCTTGTAAAGTTCTAGATATGCCAATCTATACAAAAGTTTTCCTTACTTCTCGATCTGTCATTCTAACTGAGTTAACAGGCATCTCTATTCAGCAGTTGGAGCCTAGGGAGAAACTTGAATTACCCCAGTAGTTGCTTCTCCAATCTCCCTCCTACTTTTCTCTTTGTATTTATCGTTTGGAAACTTCAAGAGTGTATGTTAGGTACTCTCTTAACACCAAGAAAATCGATATTAGAGCAGGAACAGTGAGATCAAAAGAAAGGAAATTTTCCTACACATAATGCAGTCTCTAATTAAGGATACTTGTGCACCTCACTAACCTGAATTACAAACTAGTCAATGTGGTTAATGTGAACTTATTATCCTCTAAATTTAGGCAAGAGCTCTGATACCAACTATTTCACCACCAAAATCTACACCCCAGACGAAACCAGTGTCGTTGACCTCTCAAAGGTCGTAGACAAGCCTACTTATGTTATTATCACTTCATATAGGTTAATTTTAGCGGAAAATTTGAATCTTTTTGTTTCCTAACATTCTTACAAAACTTTCTACTACATACGTAAATGTTCACCATAAACCATCTAACAATAAGATTATCAAATGAAAGGAACAGTTTATTATAATGATAAAGATGAACTTGCCCAAATGGCACCAATACACTGCCTTAAACAAATCTGAAAGAAAACGCTAGTGGAACATACTCGACTAGCTCAATACTAAAATAAAGCTAGAATGTAAATGGGCAAGTATCCTCGAAAACACGAGGGCTTACCATCTCCAAATGAATGAGTGACGTCCGGATGTCTACATCGTCGATCATGTTGCTCTAGAGTCCACCTGTACCTACATTTCAAAAAGTAGAGTTATATAAGGTTAGTAAACACATGTACTAAGTATGGGTACATGCAACAAAATACCAAGGACATACATGAGTAAGAATAACTCTTTCCTAAAATCCTGACTGTAGAAGGTCAAGTTAGTAGACTTGCCAAATTGAGATTAAGAAAGTGAGTAAGTTTTTCAAATTAGGATTAGGAATAACAGTGATCTTTCAAAATTTTGATTAGGAAAGTCATGACATGAGAGTAACATCCATAATCATACTTATCATATTGCACACAACACATAACATCTTACACATAGCACATATCATAATTCAGATAACACATAACGTTGTTCATATCATTCATTCGTATGCCATGAGACCTTAGAATCATGTACTTGACATTAAGACTTCCCAAAAATTAGGGCTCAATATATGGTACCTCAAATAGGGAGTCTACTTTAGAAAACACATAGTCTGCTTCATTCATTCATACGTACTTAATTTCATTCCATTCATGGACCACTGTAAACAACAACTATACATAGGATGTAGTTTAAGACTATCATCACGATTTGTATGCAATGACCAAGAATGACCTAATGTCATTACTTGAATCTAACTCTGCTCTTCATTATCCTATACTAAAACCTTTGGTATCATTCATTTCATTATGTGCATCATTTGAGGGTGGCCTCATTCATTCATTGGGAACTGTAACTTTAACCCACATAGATCCTGTGAGCATCATGAAATCTAGTGTCATGGAACCCCACACAGAAAAGATGTGAAATCACTGGCTAAAGTGACCCAAAACATAATAGCGTACATGGAATTTGAACCCCGCCAGATCCCTATATTATTAGTATAGGTTCGAAGACTAGGAGATAAAAGGTGACCCATACTCGGCATGCCGCACAGTCTCCACTCATTAGAGTTACGTGAACCTACGCCATTCGAATGCATCACCGCTCATAGCTAGTCTATCGGTGTTCAATATAAAGTTCCATTACATTCAAGTCATCCGTGATGGAAGTTTGATTCTACTATAAGGACATCATAGATAGATAACTTCTTATCTCATCATTAGTATTAATGGTGTTAATCTCAATACATTCATTGGAGTGTTAATAGAGACTAGTCTCTTCATTATCTTTAAACTCTCATAGGTGAGTACATTTTGTTAACATTCACTTAGGATCATTTGAGATTGCTGTCATCTTTTACAGTAGCCTCATATCATGTTTTCACTACATTCATTATCAATAGCACTTTTGCTCTTCATAGTTACTCACCCCTTTTAGTTACGTGAATGTTTATTTTATCATATGCCAATCCACTCGGCCATTTGGTGTATGTCACACTATTACTTAACCCTCTTCGGTTTCATCAATTCATTGTTCATTTCATCATTTCATTGTTCATTTAATCATATGTCAATGAAATTTGCCATTTAGTGTATTTTATAGTCGTACTTAACCCTTTTTGGGTTTAATCATTCGATTACATACATCGGTTCACTTACTTTTAAACGTATGCTAGTTTTATGGGTCTATACATACAAGCCATATGGCTTCATTCATAGTTCATTTAAGTGACTCATAACTTCCTAAAATTATGCAGTACAAGACTTATGCATTTTGGATGTATGCCATGATCTCGATTTTGATCTAAGTAGGCAGCATTATTCTTGAACATTTAATTCATGTATGACTTATGTATCAATATGGAATTTGGACAAGGGAACCCGGTTTTCAAATCTCTTGCACAACACGTACATTTTTTTGATTAATTTAGTTTTATCCATACGGCTTGGGGACCCATGTTCAAGCCCCAATTCCTTTATTTAATTTTTCCCTTAATGTATCTTTTATTAATTCGCTTAATGGAACTAAGAGAATGTGGAATCAAACCCCCACAACCCCTCTTTAAATACTTTTAATTTTACACCTTAAATCTTCCTAAGAGGTCATGGATTCGATTCGCACGCCTCACATCTCTTTTCTTTCATTTCTTTTGACTCTCATTTATTGCATCTGGGTCTTACGTTTCATACCCATGCCTCGCATTTCTTTTCTTTCATTTTCTTTACTCTCCTTCACTGCCTAGAGGTCGTGGGTTCGATTTCCACGCCTCGTATTTTATTTTATATTTCTTTTACTCTTCTTTAAATCTAATTGAGAAGTGGTTTGTTCGAAGTCCTCAACTCTAATTTCTTATTATTATCTTTTAATTTACATTTTCCAACCAATACCATGGTTCGAATATCCTTCACAGCATTTCTTTTTACTTTTTAATTTCATGGTTTTTAACATAGTGAGGCGACGGGTTCAATCCTCCGTGACCTCACTTGTTTTGATTCATTTTTTAAACATTGTGAATCCTCTTTGATGACCGAAATTCATCACTAGAAGCTGGAAATTTTATCTTAATTTGTCAGCATCCGTTCATCAAGTTACACCTTAGTTCTTAGGGGAATTTCTTAGTGCATTTAGAACGGTTTAGGTGCGTTTTCATGGATTTGTTTAACCAAGAGATTATCCTTCAAATAAGAGACATTCCAACTATATGAACATCACATTTATATCAACATCTGTAGATGAAATATAAATACCTATCATGCCATTCCAAGTCTTAACAATGAACAATAGCCACGACAACACACACAAACAAATATAGTGACATTTTTGGTAACATAAACGTAAGTCACATAATTCAAAACATACATACAAACACATAATAATCACGAAAAAACATTTAATCCCTAGTTTTCTACCAGCAAGCATAACCAACCTATGTTTCAATGGGAGCTAGTGACTAGGAAATGCAACGACGAACAATCCTAATTTTGGGAATGAATATTCTAAACATTAAGGGGTCCCTTAGGAAAGGGACCAATAATGAAGAGAACCCATATCCTTTTGACATTCAAACCTCTGCCAAAACAACCCCAACAAACACACGTCCAAATCAAAGAGCTTCAACACAAACTTGACGATAAAACACCTCTCTTTTCCTGACATGTTTGATTAGTTGTTTGTTTATATTTTTCGTTGTAAGTTCTTCAAGTGTGAAGAACATTGGTTTACCTAATATTTTTGTATGTTATTTGGCAGATAAAAATGTGTGTGAGAGTGATAGAGACGTGACAAAGAAAGATGAGCGTGGGCCAGAAAAGTTTTCTTATGATTAGGAGTCTAGTTTAGGACTTAATCAAATAAGATTTTATTTAACTATTGAAAATCTAATTTCCATTTATTTTAAATAAGCTAATAAATAATAAATATAAATTAATTACATTAATGTACCAACTTAAATTAAACACAATTTAATTCATTGCTTCCACCTAGGTTCGAACCCGGGTGGAGCAAGACATCACTTCAAGAGCCCAATTTCGGACTTCTCTCCTTAAAATGCACCTTATTATTTAAATAATTAATTATATATTTATGAGAATTACGATATTACCCTTAGCCTAGAAAAAGATTAGTTTATCCCTAGACACTCCTTACCTAAGATTTCCTCTTTTTAAGTCTTGTAAAAGACTCCTTCGATTATATCTTTAGATTCATGAGCCATACATGGTTTGACCCAACCATTTCTAGATCAACTAACTCCCCAAGTTAGTTTGCTTTGATGTATCAAGGGTTTCTAGTTTTGGTTCTATGATTATCAATCTGTGTGAACCTAGTCTAATCATTGGCATTCTAGACATATTAAGCATTACTCAGCATATCAATTTTTAGGGTTTTTAAACTTTATATCTAACACAAACCCAAACTTTAACCATAATCCTAAACCCTAAACCCTAAACACAAAGCCTAACGCTAACTCTAACCCTACCACAAACACTGGACCCTACCATGAATTCTTGATATATATATGCAAAATTCTCTTCTCCAAACATGTATTCAAAGAGAGGAAACAAAATGGGTTGTAGTCTTACCTTTAATTCTTTTAATTTATCCGTTGAACTTGTACTTCAAGAATTCAAACACTCCTTCAAACTTTTACTTGAAAGTTATACAATACTCAAGACCCCTAATGTGTTTTAGGGCTTCTTGTTGAAGCCTAGAGACACTAACAAAGAAAATAAAGTAGTTTGAAAATTTTGCAAGTTTAAAATGAAGAAAAAGACTTGATATTTATTTTTTTAAAAGGAAGGCTCGATGGCGGACGTTCTTTGCCAATTTAGGGCCATATATTGTCAAGTAGGTGACCCACATATTTGGCCTTTCAACTTGGGCTTCTTTGGACATAAGATTATTGGGCCTTGTCTGTCCATTTTTGCTTTGTTATTTTATTCAACATGGGACAGATTAATGCAAGTAGCTGTTACAAACTTGGCCCAATTACATGATAAAAAAAAGTCATTGTATGTGATGCACCTACTTAGTTTCACATGGGCTTGATCCATAACGTGCCAATCTGGCAGATTTAGTTGCTGGGCTTTCATTCCTTTTTTAATAGGTTTGGGCTTGAAGTGTGCCCATTAATATAAGCCTGAATCTGGCCCATCAAATTTGGGCCGCTTACAGTATTATAGCTCAAGTAAATGATACAGCTGCTAGCTCAATTAAGCCAAGCAAGCAACTTAGTTATTTTATTTCAATTTTTGAATGTTTTTCACTTTTCTTAAACTTAGCACTTAACTTTTAATTTTAAGATCAATTAACACCTTAATATATTTATTTAAATACTTTTCATCAAAGTTAACTTGCGATACACATGTTGAAATGTACAAAACATTGCATCACCTTCCAAGCTAGATTAAACCAACATTAATCATAAAATTCCAGAATTAAAGTAAGACTACAACCCATTTGTTTTCATCTCTTTGAATACATGTTTGGAGAGGAGAATTTTGTATATATTTATCAAGAATTCATGGATTGTGATAAATCTTTGAGTCAATATTCTCCTATTATGCTTAAAGATTTGAGATTGATAGTGGCTGCCTTATGTTAAGGGCAACTTGGATATCTTGGGAGTGGATGTATGAAGTTTTATTAATGTGTAGAGGAAGGGTGTGCTGGTTCACAATTTGTGTAAGGTTTGTATGGGCCTACTTTCCGATAATGATTTTAGCTACTATTGTAGAGGGGCATTATTCGATAAGATGTTGACCTTAGCTTAATCATGACATATGTTGTAGATTAGCACACAAAAAGGAAGGCTGAATCGTAATATTGGTATTGGTAAAAAAAAAGGTATCTAAGGCTATTTGATTCCAAATTCCTTTGCATGAAATCTGGCACCAATAATTATTAACAATGAAGTGAGTCTCCTATGTTCTATTTCTAGTAACATAAAACAATAGCAGTGTATTGACTCCAAATAGCTAATTGCATCCCTCCCCTATCCAAAGTACATAGAACCACTTCATCATATGTTAACTTCTCTATACTTGTGTAATTATCCCACTTAAGTTATTATAGATATGTTAGTTGCAAAAGAAAATTTAGTGGCAGGCCCTAAATACAAAAATCAAAATATTAAACAGTAAGCCATTGATATTAAACATGATATCCTAAACCCAAAACCTAAAAACCTAAATAAAACAAAAGCCCAAACCTTAACCCTAACCCTAAACCATAAAACCCAAACCATAAGCCAAAAATACCAAAACACAAACATTAAATACTAAACCATATATTTTTATCCTCAAATGCTAAACCTTAAACTATAAAACCAAAAAAAAACCTACACCATTACCCTAACCCTAACCCTAAACCCAAAACAATATAACCTAAATAAAAAAACCTACGTAAAAAGTACGAAAATCCAGACATTAAACACTAGACCATAGATTTTAAATTTAAACCTAACTATAACCCTAACCTTAACCCTAACCCTACATATGCCATAAACCAGAAATTCTAAGCCCAAAATACAAAAATCCAAACATTAAATACTAAACCATAGATTTTAAAACTCAAATTTTAAACCCTGAACCACAAACCTAAAAAAAGACCTACACGCTAACCCTTACTTTAACTTTAACCTTAATTCTTAGACGAAACCCTATGTCAAAGAAAAACCTAAGTCCAAAGTGCGAAAACCCAGAGATTTATCACTAAACCTTATATTTTAAACCTCAAATCCTAAACCACATTCCCTAAAACATAAAAAAAACTAAACATTAACCCTAACCCTAATCCAAACCTTAACCCTAACCCTGACTGTAAATCATTAACTCGAAACCCAATGCCTAAAATACAAATATCCATAACATAAACACTAAACTATTAATATTAAATCTAAAATCCTAAAACCTAAACCCAAAAACCTAATTAAACCAAAACCCTACCCCTAACATTAACTCTAACCATAAACCTAAACCATAAATCAAAAACGCTAAGCCCAAAATACAAAACCCAAACATCAAATACTAAATCATAGATTTTATATTTAAAATGTTATACCTTGAACAAAAAAACCTAATAAAAACTAACCCCTAACCTTAAACCCTAAAACTTATGTCCAAAAAAACACACCAAAGTCAAAAATATGAAAACCCAAAAATTATACACTAAACCAAAGATCTTAAACATCAAATACTAAACCACAAATCCATAAATCTTAAAAAAAACTAACCCTAACCATAAATCATAAACCATAAACAAAAAATCATCAGTCAAAAATACAAAAATGCAAAAATTAAATCTAAACCATAGATTTTAAACCTCAAATGCTAAACCCTGAACCATAAAATCTAAAAAAAACCTACACCCTAACCCTAATCCGAACCCTAACCTTAATTCTATCACTACATTCTAAGTAAAAAAATAATTAGTCCAAAATACAAAAACCCGTATATTAAACACTAAACCATATAATTTAAACCAATGATCTTAAACAACGTTGACTAAAACCAAAAAAAAAACTAAATCCTAACCCTCACTCTAAATCTAACCCTAACTGTAAACCACTAATTCTAAACCCAATTCCTGATGCCATAATCCAAAACTTAAACACTAAACAATTGATATAAAACCTCAAATCCTAAACCTTAAAAAAACAAAACCCTAACCCTAAACCTTAAATCTGAAACCCTAAGCCCAATATACCAAAACCGAAACATCATATACTAAACATTATAGTTTAAATATAAATGTTAATCCCTTAACCATAATACCTAAAAATCTAACCGTAACTCTAACTTTAAACCATAAACCCAATATACTGGAACAAAAAATTAAATCCAAAATACGAAAACCTAGAAATTAAAAACTAAACCATACATTTTAAACCTTAAACCCTAAACAACAAACACGAAAACCTAAAAAAATCATAAGCCTAACAGTAACCCTAACATTAACCCTATCCCTAACCTTTAACCATAAATCTTAAATTCTAAGCCCAAAAAACAAGAATCCAAACATCAAATACTAAAACATAGATTTCAAACCTCAAATGCTAAACACAACTCCATAAAACATAATAAAAATTTAAACCCCTAATCGAAACGCTAACCTGAATTCTAACACAAAACTCTAAACCCTAAACCCTAAGTCCAAAGCAAAAACCATAAGTCCAAAATACCAGAACACAAAAATTAAACACTAAACCACAAATTTTAATCTTTATTATCTTCAAATTACAAACCCAAAATCCTAGACAAAAACTAAATTGTAATCCAAACCATAACCTTAACCTAACTCTAGCCTAAACAATTAATTTGAAACCCCAAGTCCAAAATATCAATGCACAAACATTAAACACTAAACCATAGTCTTTAAATAAAAATTCTAAACCCAAAATCTAAAACCTGAAAAACCCTAAACCCTAACACTTATCATATTCCTAATTCAAACGCTAACCATATCCTATCCTAAACCCTAACCCTAAACCAAAGCTCAAAATAAAAAAACCCTATCATTAAACACTGAACCATAGATATTTCAACTCAAATCCTTAACCACAAATCTTAAAACCTACAAAATGACCTTAACCCTAACTTGACATTAACAATAACCCTAACGCTTCAGTGAACACTAAACCTTATGCCCAAAATACCATAACCCAAACATTGAACAATAAACCATTGATATTAAACCTCAAATCCTAACTCTAAACTCAAAAAAAACCCTAATTAAAACCCTAACCAAAATCCTAAGTCATAAAACCAAAAACCATAGACCTATATTACAAAAACCCAAAAGTTAATACTAAACCATATATTTTATACCTCAAATTCTATACCCTGAATCTTGAAACCTAATTGAATACCTACACCCTAATCCTATTATTAATCCCAGACCTAACTCTAAAACCTAAACCCTTAACCCTAAGTCAAAATAAACCTATGTCCAAAATACGAAAACCCATACATTAAACACTAAACCATATATTTTAAACCTCAAGTCTTAAACCACAAACACCAAAACTAAAACAAAAAATCCTAACCCTAACCTTAACCCTAACCCTAATCGTATCCCTAACGATAAACCATAAACTCTTAAACCTAAGACAAAGATACAAAAACCTAAACATTAATACTAAACCATATATTTTAAACCACAAACCCTAAAACCTAAAAAACAATCTAAATCCTAACCCTAACCCTTCCATAAACCCTTAATGCAAATCCAAAATTTTAAAAAACCAAACATTAAAAACTAAATCACTAATATCAAACTTCAAATACTAAATGCTAAAGTCAAACACCTAAAAAGGCCCAAAATCCCTACCCTTACCCTATTCTTAACCCTAACGCTAAACCCTAAACCCAAAGCCTAAAATACCAAAACCAAAACATTAAAAACTAAACCATTAATAAAAAGAATCAAATCCAAGACCCTTAACTCAAAAAACCTTAACTAAACCAAAAAACCTACCCCTAGTCGTAACCCTTAACCATAAACCCCAAACTGTAAGCCAAAAATACCAAAACCTAAACAATAATTACTAGACAATAGATTTCGAACCCAAATGCAAAAACCTAAACCATAAAACAAAAAAATAAAAAACCCACACAATAACCTTACTCCTAACCCTAATCCTTTAACTATAAACCCTAAATAAAAAAATCCTTATTCCAAAATACAAAACCCAAACTTTAGTTACAAAACCATAGATTTTAACTGTAACACTAACCTTAACCCTAAACACTAAACCCATAAACTAAGCCCAAAATACCAAAAAGCAAAATTTATTCTCTCACTATCTTATCTCTCTAAAACAAACAGTCCCTATTGTTACTCACAAGCGCTACTAACGGATAGTATTAACTAGTTCAAAAATTCCAAACATGAAGCATGAGCCACCTGCAGCAAATCTCAAAGCACCAGACTAGCATTAGAAGGGGCTTTTGGAGGAATGGAACACATCTTTAGTTAATCCCCCCTATAATTAATCAAGTATCTTCGGGAAATTGAAATCTCAAGGCACGATGAACAGTGAAGTTTCTCGGATGGAAGAAAACGGGAACAACAACAATATTCTTTTAAAATTAATCAGGTATCATGAGGAATCTAGTAGATTAAAGCTACATCATAATCAATTATTGAGAAACATTGAAAATCAATTGAAGAACGAAAGTGAGATTTTTTGGATCATCACAACTGAAGCTCACAAAGGTAAAATGCAAAAATCAATCAACTTCCCAGCGAAATTGAGAGGAAACAATTACTTGGATTTATTCACAAGGGGACAATTTTTACCTCACAACAATATAAATTAAAATAAACCGAAATATCGATGGTAATAAGAACGCTAGTGGTCAAAAGGCTAGTCGAGTGAACAATATTACCGGCGAAGCTTATGCATCTACTGGTACAATCAATGGAGGTAATCAAAAGAATAATGTGAACATGTGAATAAGGAAAAGAGTACTAAAGAAGGACTCACAGAAATGAAACTATGGATGCAATCTTAGACTGTACACTGCCACATAACAAGGCCTTAGCTCGTGAACATGACACTATCAAAGTGGACAGTTAAAAAACTCCTCATTTTCAATTCTAAAGCTGCAGATGTTCAAAGAGAAGGCCATCAAAGACCACTCAAAGAGCAAGAAAAGCTGGCAAATCAAGCAGGTAACCGTACTAACTATAAGTGTAATCTCAAAAATATTAGTAATGAACATAACAATGTCCATGAGCAATAAAAATCCATGGGAAATTCAGTTGGTAGGGTTAGAATAAAGCAACAGGGGGAGGTCAACATCCAAAAGGAATACCAGCAGGAAAGTGACTATGAGAAATCCAATACAAATGCAGTCTTGGAAGGTAAAATTAGTAGTCAAGGTGTGGGGCAACTGGATATGAGTGATAAGAAACAATGGGAGCAAAATAAGAACATTGAGGAAAGGAACCAAGAAATAAACCAACAGGATGATCAACAGGATAACATTAGGCCAAATCTCTATTATAGAGAATTTCCTAAGATTTGTAGCAATTTTTAGAGAAGGGGTCATAATATTAAAAATGTTAACAAAAAAGTTCCTAACAAAAATACTTGTTATTTCAATAGCAATAAGAATATCACTGTTACCAAGCAGGATCAGGTTCAGGAACATGCTCCTTATTGGGATTCAAACATTGGCTGCATGATTGAGACACACACTTGCAACATAGGCTCCAACTTTAGTGTTGAAAACCACTCCCAGATAAACTACCAAGCATGGACAACCTGGTGTAATCTTTGATA